GTGAACATTTATGCGACGAAGTCTTGCGTCTTATCGCCCATTGATTTGACTGAATTTATAAACGCGTGCAACAGTCGTGCAACGAAAAAAAGGACAACTAGACTATGTTCTTGTTATACATTGTCTTAAATAATGGTCTTGTTATACATTGTACTTGTCACCTTCTTAAATTTTTATTGTCTTTTTATCATTCATTACATTAATCTATAGGTCCTTCATATGCCATTTTTTCCTTAACACGTATCTTTTGCTTGATTAGTTTTGTTCTTAGGTTTTAATGCTAATGTGCTTGTAGTTATATTATTTGATTATTAATAATATTAGTGTAACAATATGTAATTTCTAAAGGTTTTTCATATTTGTGATTAAATTTTGGTTTTTTGTTTTTTGTTTTGTTAATGATTGTTAACTCTTTCGCTACGGCGAGCCGCTGACAGCGGCCCATACAAATTGTACAGGTCGTACTGAAAGCCGCTGGCAGCGGCTCGGTTGCGTCGCTATGAATAAACAGGGTATCCCCATGACGTGGCCAATATCTACATAATTTATATCGTATAACCTCTGACCCTAGTTCGAGCCGCTGCCAGCGGCTCTCCGTCTGGCCGGGGTGCGCTTTTTGTTATTGTGAGCAGTTTGTTTACGGAGATACATTCAAAGATGGCGGCGCCCACATCGACGCTCGGCGGAATTTTCAGCTTTGAATTACGTCCAGTTGGGACGAAAAAGGTAAATTAAATTCCTTAGCGAAAGAGTTAAGCGCCTTGAACGTCTTTTTGAAGGATTTGGCGCTATATAAGAATATTTTTATTTTATTATTATTATTATGTTTGTGGACAAACACAGGGCTGTTTCGGTAACTTTTTGTGACACGTGGACATTTAAGTTTTAGGTATAGGTAATGCTATCATACATGTAAATGAGATTTGGAGGTTTGAATGAAGTCAGCAAAATAAGTAAGTTGCACTATGGTCCAATCACAAACTTAACCACCATGAATGTTGCCAATCCATCTAAAATATGTGACAATGTGATACAAAAGATACGACAAAGATAAATGTACCTGCAGTATGTTGAGGTTATAATCAATGTAGCCATTGAAGCAGAATCGAGCCCGGGCAATGTCCATTGAAAACCCAACAAGCCCAACGACAACTGTGGCATAAGCCTCGTCAAATAGATCCACGCTCAGGTGACCACTCAGTGGAGCTGTCAGACACAAACAGAAAAGTCAAGTTTTCATTTGTTTTGTACAAGGCTTATGTTTTCGTAAAACACAATTGACATCATACCTCTGTAATTATGTCACTCACACGTCAAATAACAAATTTTAGTGACTTGTGACCGATTGTAGCGTCCATCATTTGTAATTTGTGCATTATGTTGGTTTGAAGCAACAAACGTGCTCAAAATTTAAAGAAGAATACTGAACAACTAATCTGATGAAGTTTCAGCTCACTGAATGCTGTATATTCCGCGGAAACAATATTCTAGGATCTCAATTTTAAATCAAAAGTTGCCGAGTCGTGTTTTGAATTGCACCCGAAATCAGCAGCCAGAACATGTTCTCATTCAGCCGATTGCAGCGACGGGATGTCACGCACTCAACTGATGAATTATAGCAACCGCGAGCGAACGTGCATCGTTTCAACTCGCTGAACTAAAACAAACTACTACAGTCGGCTCCCGTTATTAAACCACGGGACCGGCCAAAATGTTCGTTGTATCCGAATTTCGTAATGTTTCCCGTCCATTGTTCACCTTGAATTGGCCCTATTGTGCACGCTTGTGAACGTACGTAATGTACCAAATGACTTTTTCTGTTTGAAAATGAAAGCAATTAAGAACATGCTCTCTATGTGTCATTTGTCAAATAAAAAATAATGTTTAAAATGTATCATTGTGTCAAGTGAAAAAAATATGTTTAATGTACGAAAATAAAATAAAATAAACATTACGAAGATCTGACGTTTCATTGCTTGATCATCGATGAGGAAGTCAACGGCGCACCACCTGGATCACTTCGATGTTCAAAGTAAGTAATCTCTCCAGCACAAATTGTGTCATGGAGAGACATTTAAATTGTATTGTCCTTTCGTCTTGCAGATTTCAATGTGACAATGTGATAAGCGTTTTCAAGCACATGGCCGAGAAACCTTTGCCATTTACGTTCCAGATTTTACGGTCCGTCCGTGATCTGAGTAAATTTTACAAATTGGTAGAGCGCCCTCATGAGTCAGCGTCCTAATGAGTGATGATGTCATAATCTTACATCGTGATTGGATATTAACGTCTGACGATTTCAACGTCACGCAAGCGGACGAACTCATTGGCGTGCACCAGTTCATTTATTCATAGCTTTGCATATGTATGCATAATGTCCAGCGTTGATGGTGATCAGTTTCTTATCGTCCCAGCAGGTTCCTTTTTTAAAAGTTACAAATAGCTTAGTACGTATTTTGTGCTGGTGCAAAGGCAAAGTTTTGATTATAATTTAATAAATAATTTAAGAAAATATTTTTTTTGGAGGGGGGAGTAATTTATGGGAGGTCGTGAATAATTTAAAATGAAATTACGTTTTGGAGAATTTTGGGATAGTCTAAGATTGTTTATTTCATTTTGGATTTGTAATGGGGTTTTTTGTAATTTTTGTTTAACCTTACATTTTTTTTTTTAAATCAAATCAAATCTGTGCCGGGGAGG